GCCTCGATCGACAATGTTCTTCAAATATAACTACAAGGATGCTTCAAAAACACCACAAAATCGAAGAAATCTTTAGCTAAAATTAGGATTTACAGATGAATTTTTTCGATTAGGTTTTGGTGTTCTTAGAGAAAGGAAACGGGTGGGTGAAATAAATGGACTAGGGTAAAATAAAATGGATTTGGGTGAAAAAAATCGGGTTTGGGTGAAAAGAAACGGGTTTGGGTCAAAAGAAACGATTTTGGGTCAAATGAATCGGATTGGGGTCTTTTATTACGTGGCTTAACTAGGAGGCGAGTGGCTTTCACTCTAGGCATAATGTCCTGGGTTGGGTGACGGAAGGGGGAAATAAATATACTTTTATGTACTTAAGGTGTGTAATAGGTCACTCCATTAGTTAAAGTGTGTAAATGACTTTTGGGTATACGTTTAGGGGGCAATTTATGCCTTTTGCCTAAATAAAAGTCCAAAGAGAAAGTTAAAGAATTAGCATAAACATTCCAAATACATATGTTTTTAGTTGTATCAATTTATTTTTCTTGATATCTTTTTACTTATTGATTTTTTATTAGATCGTGCCTCCACATAAAAAAAAATAGAAATGATTGGAGAAATAGTATTAACTTGATAATACAATCGGCTATAATTTTAATACATTATTACAGAATATTGTACCAAATCAAAGTTTAATTTACCGATTATCAAATTATCAAACTGAAATTCAAAATTTTGGTATTTGGTATCTACTTTTAACTTCCAATTACCGAATTACCAAACCCGAAATTTAAAAATCTCGAACCAAATACTGAACGCTCACCCTTAATATTAAGGGTCTGTTTGAAAAATTCAATAATAGCGACATCAATTTTTTCTAAAAAATTAATAACGTCATTGATTTTAAACCAATCAAATTCTTGCAGCATAACTTTAAAAAATTAACATATTGGTTAAAACTTTAGTCAAAAACATTTTACAAATACTGTAAGGAGCCGTTTGGTAAGAGGTATTAATTAAAATAATCTTTGGATAAAAGTTTAGTCCACCCAATACAATGTTTAGTTGCATAATTCAACTCAAGCACACCTAATACATAGATAACTTAATACATCATATGTGGTCTTATCTAATACCAAGGATGTGTAGGGATTACTAATCCAAGGTTTACTAATCCTTGGATAAGGAATCAAATGACTGAATTGCCCCTCAATTTTTTTATACATCCTTTAGAATTGGCAAAGATATTCACGCTATTCTGCTATTTGAAATCGTTTGTCCTGTTTTCATCAAAGTTATACGATTTCGTTTGTATTCAAATTTTAACTGAAAAGGAATTTTCTCTCAAAACTTTTGCTACTGTTTTCATAGTAGTAGTTGGAGCTTGGCCTTCCTTACAGCTTCAAGAAAAAATAGTAGATCTTGTTGGCCACTGTTTTTTCCTGTTTTGTTAAGAGAGGAGGGAGGTAAGCCTGGGTCATGGGTACTAAAAATAATTTCATCTCGTTTATGACATGAGACTTTCTCAAGTGAATTAAATTTGTTAAGCACTTCACATTCAAGTTTTAAACCACAATAAATATGGTAATTATATTATATATATAACATAATAATTCAAGGGTAAAATTGGAAAAAAGTATATTTTAGAGTTCTAAACCAAACACAAGATTAGGTTAGAAACAATGAACCAAACACTTCATAAAAAATAATCCCTGCATTGTTAATCTCTGCATTACTAATCCCTGCATTATTAATCTTTGTACCAAACGACCCCTAAGTCCTCAAAAATCATAAGTAAAAATTCCACCTAGATCCTATTTTTTTTTAGGTATTAATATGTTTAGTAGTTTTAGGATCTAAATGGACAAGCAATAACAAACATAAATTACAACTCACCTTGTACCAATTTATAACTGTTTAGTAATTTGATTTGACACATAATTTAATATAATAAACACTTTTTGAACTTGTAATTTAAAGTATAAATATTTATGTGGATAAAGAATAAACTCTTAAAATTATTGAGATTGAATAAATAGGAAAGTGAATCTATAAATTGTTAATGGGGATAATAAATTAATCTTAGCTAACTTTTTTTGATATCTTCATTTTTAACTAAGTTATATATTTATAATTATTATATCATTTCCAATGGAAGTTTTCTATAGTTACTAATTAAATAGGAAAATAGGAAAGTGACTCGTATAAATGGTGATAGAGGATAGCTACCTACTTTAACTTGTTTAGTATTTTCAATGGAAATGATTGTCATGTGTTTTTTTTTAACACCTATACTTGCGTTTGGTTTGGAAACTAAACTCTCTTTTCATTTTTAGTGACATTCATTTTTATTCGTCACTGGTGACTTCATACTTATTAATAAAACAATTATTAATATAGATATTTTAGCAAACTATTTATGTTAAATGATGTTTAGTACTCTCTCCATTCACTTTTACTTGTCACGATTTGACTTGACACACCCATTAAGAAAATAATTATTGATATAGGTATTTTACCAAACTATCCATATTAAATGATGCTAAATAGTATTAAGTCTTGGAAAATAATTTGAAGAAAGAGTATTTAATGTTGGGGTAAAACATGGAAGAAATATAATTGTCTTTTCTTAATATGTCAAAAATGACAAGTAAAAATAAAAATATATTTTAAAAACAAGTAACAAGTAAAAGTGAATGGATGGAGTATACGCTTGTATCAGTTATTTATTTTCTTGTATAGTATTGTTATTTTGAAATTTGTGTTATATAGCCCATTTATTTCTCAAACTAATTCTTAAAAGTTATTTGAAAAAACTTTTTGTAGAAAATAATGTTAAAAGTGTACTTCTAACTGTTGTAAAATAAGAGGAAAATACAAGAATACTTAAATAAGAAAGGGAGAAAAAATAGTGATGAAAGGTATAAAGTAGAATCTTTTTTTAATCTCTTCAAGTGTGTCTCACAAGGGTGAAAAGACTACCTTTTTATAGGATTTAAAAAACACCCGTTTACATCCTTTAACCAAATACGTTAGTACAACTTTAATAAATACAATAAATACATACATTATGTTAGGGATAAATTAAGAGAAACATTCACAATTAAATGGACTTGTAACACTCCCTCTTGAATGTTTATAGATAATGTGTCTCGTTAAAATCTTACTAAAAAAATCTAGTGGGAAAAAGCTTAGTGAGGGAAAAAGAGTACACAACTAGTGATACTTGGTCATCCACAAGATTATTTAACTAGTTTTTGCGAATATCTTTTGAGTCAATCCAAACAAGCTCTAAGTCTATCTGTGTCATATAAATAATGACAGATACTTGGTCTCATTTTCACAGCTAGCCATACTTGGTCAAGGTTGATATTGGCAGATGGAAGACCAGAGAAAAGTAAAGTTTGAATTTTTTGTTTTTTTAAGACGAGAGCTGAAATTAGAAGTCTCCTATGGTTTTCTTTATTATTTTTTTAAATTTATTTTTAGCAATCACTCATTCTACCAGCAAATTGTGCAGCCATAGAAATGAAGAATAGCAGTTCAATTCTGATACTTGTGCATTTTTTATGCTTTAGCCTCATCACTAATCTTTCCCTAGGAGGGGACACCATTTCTGTGAATGAATCTGTTTCTTCAGGCCAAACAATTATCTCTTCAGGTGGGAACTTTGAGCTTGGTTTCTTCAGACCAGGCGACTCTCGCTCCTACTACATAGGCATATGGTACAAGAAACTATACCCTCAAGCAGTAGTATGGGTAGCAAATAGGGATAAACCACTTGATAGTGCTGATGCTAACTTGATAATTAGTCAAGGTAACCTGGTGCTTCTCGATAGACTTCAAAACTCAATTTGGTCTGCACTTACTGAGAACATCAATCCAAATATTTCAGTTGCTGCAGTTCTTCGTGATGATGGGAATTTTATTTTGAGTGATGTGTCAAAGGCATCAATGCCCTTACTACTTTGGCAAAGTTTTGATCACCCAACACACACTTTTTTGCCTGGTGCTAAGATTGGATATGATAAACGGACACAAAGAAAACAGGTTTTGGTTTCATGGAAGAATTCGAGTGATCCGGCACCAGGAATGTATTCTCTAGAAATGGACCCAAAAAATGCTCAATATGTTATAAAATGGAATAGGACTACAGAGTATTGGGCAAGTGGTTCATGGGATGGCCAAAGATTCGGCTTAGTGCCTGAGATGAGCTTAAACTACATATATAATTACAGCTATATCGACAATGAGAATGAGTCATATTTTACATACTCCCTTTACAATAGTACAATCACATCAAGATTGATAATGGATGTCTCGGGACAAATTAAGCAACTGTCATGGTTGGATGGTAGCATTGATTGGAATTTATTCTGGACTCAACCAAGAGAATCTTGTCAGGTTTATGCTATATGTGGGGCATTTGGAGTTTGTGATGAAGCTAATGCAACCTGCAATTGTTTGAGTGGTTTCAAGCAAAGATCAGATGCAGAATGGAATTCAAATGATTATTCCAGTGGCTGTGTAACAGACGAAAAGGTGCAGTGTGATGCAATTACTGAAGACAAAGATAGTTTATGGATAACTTCAATTGTGAGAGTACCTGCTTCTCATAATACTAATATCACAGTTGGGACAGCCTCACAGTGTAGATCTGCATGTTTCAACGATTGCTCTTGCACTGCTTATACTTATGATGGTTCCGGTACCTGTTCCATCTGGACAGGGGATCTGTTCAATCTGGAACAACTCAGCACAACTGAGTCAAAAAGGACAATATTTGTCAAACGCGGCTCACCTGAAGGTTAGAATAGCATATTAACATAGCTTGATTCTTTATTTCATATAAGTACTATGTTATGGATAGAATTCCTTATTAACCATTAGCACTTAACAACAATGATTCTCCTTTCAGCTCAAACTAAAGCTAAGAAGTCGATGAAGCTAAAAGCAATCCTTTCGTCAATATCAGTTTTGATGTTTCTACTCATAGGCAGCATTAGCTACATTTACTATAAAAGAAGAATTGCAAAAAGAGCAGGTAGTTGCTGAATGAATCTTACTCTGAAAGATATTTTCTCTTATAGCATTTTGAACTTACTTTCAAAGGTCATTCTCAATCAGATAGAAGTAAAGGTATTCAAGGGGCACATAAATCTCACTGGCACAAAGCTGAAGGAGAAGCAAAAGTATTAATGAATGAAAACAGTGATGAAGCGATTGATGTTCCATATTTTCACTTGGAGACTATTTTGGAAGCTACAGACAACTTCTCAAATGCGAATAAGCTCGGACAAGGAGGATTCGGTCCTGTTTACAAGGTTCAAACTTCATTCCTACATCTATATGGACTGGCATGGCCATATTGACCTATAGTAATGAGATGAATTTTTTTTGCAGGGTATCTTTCCGGGCGAAAAAGAAATTGCAGTAAAAACGTTATCCAGTCAATCAGGACAAGGCATAGATGAATTTAAGAATGAAGTGACTCTAATTGCAAAGCTTCAACATCGAAATCTGGTGAGGCTATTGGGTTATTGCATCAATGCAACGGAACAAATATTACTTTATGAATATATGCCGAATAAAAGTTTAGATACATTCATATTTGGTGAGTTAGCCTTGTTAAGTTCTTTATTCTCAAAGTCATACATTTCTTATAATGATCTAATTTTATTGACGTACCAAACTTTGTCATGGTAACGATGCAAGATGGAACACTTTGTCAATTATTGGATTGGAAGAAACGTTATGACATCATACTGGGCATTGCACGGGGTCTATCTTATCTTCACCATGATTCACGACTAAGGATCATTCATAGAGATTTAAAAACCAGTAACATTTTATTAGATGAGGAGATGAACCCGAAAATTTCAGATTTTGGCTTGGCAAGGATTGTTGAAGGAAAAGTAACAGAAGCAAATACAAAGAAAGTAGTGGGGACCTAGTAAGTATTATATCTCTTCCTGTCATTAATTTCTTACAAAAGGAGCTTTGGATAAGATCTTATACTCAAATGTTTTGTTCACCTGATGAAATCTAGCGGCTATATGTCTCCTGAATATGCACTAGATGGATTGTTTTCCATCAAATCAGACGTATTCAGTTTTGGAGTAGTCGTACTTGAGATAATCAGTGGAAGAAGGAATACAGGATTTTATCAGTCAGAAGAAGCCTTAAACTTGTTGGGCTATGTAAGTGAAGAAACTTCCCATGACTTAATTATTATATCTTCTTCTTAGCTTTGTTTCTCTGATAGAAAAATTATCACAGGCATGGAAATTGTGGACAGAAAAAACTGAGATACAATTAATAGAGAAGTCACTACTTGAATCATGCAACAAAAGTGAAGCATTGAAGTGCATAAATATTGCACTCCTGTGTGTACAAGAAGATCCAAATCATCGTCCTAATATGTCAGATGTCATTTTAATGCTGGGAGGGGAAGGTACTAACCTTCCAACACCTAATAGACCAGCTTTTGTAATAAGGACACATGCTTCTAGTACATCTTCTTCTTCCTCCGATAAGAAATACATCGTATCCAACAATCAGGTGACGATTACAGTTGAAGAAGGACGTTAGCAGGAATAGTGAAGGCATTTAATTCGTATGGAAAGGGCTAGGGGTGGCACTAGCTAGGACTTAAAGATGAGCCATATTATACTTTTTTATCCTTGTTAACCTCTACTTTGGTCCTAAAAGAGTCCAGGGATAATTGTGTGTCGGTACTTGGCCAAATGTCGTCTTCTCTATAATAGTTAGGACAAAAGGTGGAAATGTTGGGAAAACTTTCAAGTGTTTGTACTCAAAACATATACAATTTTGCTTTAGAATGTAGTAGGTCTTAGCAATCAAGTACAAGAGTAATTTGATTATTCCTGATGCCTTCAAATGTACAAGCAATGTAATTTTTCTTTCTTATTCAATATCTTATTGGCCCAACCACCTCCCCCAAAAGAGAGAAAAGTTTGTCCAGAGAATGCATGAAAACAGCATTGAGGAAAGAAACAAAGAAAGGAGTTGCACTTAAAGAACAAAACTGCAAAACAAATGTCTGAAGTATCGATCAACAGAATGTGCAACATAAAAAGTAGACACGATTGATTCACTAGTGCAAATCTTTTTAACAAACTGTATTTATTTAAAGCCACCTTGTTGAAACTTTATCACTAACTTAAGTCTCAAGTGCTTCTTTCCAATGTAACTAGGCAAATCCATGCATGCCTTTTCCGGGAACTTTCCAGATATGACACAACACTTAGCAAATAGAGACCTGATCCAACTTGGGTGGAAATATATATATATATATATATAAAATTAAGTTTCTTACTCATACCTGTTGTCTGTTTGTTGAGGAAAGACAGCTTTCAAACTTCTGTACTTTAGATAAAGAGAGAAGCTGAAGTTTCTTCCCATTATACACAATGAAATTTAACCTAGAAGAAACTTTGGATTAGTTCATGAAAGAGGTTTTTCATTTAATTAAAGATCTAAGATATGAGCATAAAAGTTACCCCAAAAGCTAGTTCATTGGGGGAGGTTTGTCTAAGTCCATATAAAGAGACCAATCTCTCATCCCTCTACTGATGGGCCAACATCGGTGAACAACAAATTGAGATGGGCTTGGCTCTGATACTATATTAAATTAGGTCTTAGGTCTGACTCATGCTCCAAAAGCTAGCTCATGAGGGAAAAATTGCCAAAGTCCATATAAGAGACCACCCGTCCATTCCCAACCAATGTGGACTTTTACCCACTCTAACAGACACAACCAAGAGCATGACGAGACCGTGGACATTAAACAAGAGCACACAACCCTTACATTTACAAATATCTAGCTTTGCCTAATCTTCTTTTTTATCTCTTGATTATCGTTAAAACAGATAACTTATTTTTTACTTAGCTTGTGAATGCAAGAACATAATGTTCACTAGGCATTTACTCAAGCATTCAACCAGTAGCTCGGACTTTGGAGAATCATAACCAGTCCATCCAGTCCAGTCCTCGTTTCAATAGACTCAACACAACAATAACTACTCTGCCTCCTCAATCCCAAGCAAGTAGTGATTTGAATAGATTCTACAACAACAAGAGTGGAGCACTTACAGTTGAAGAAGCTCAGAGCAGACCGATCGGACCAATAACAAAATGGAGATCCCTAACCTACCAAAACTTGCAATTGGATGCAATTGGAAATATATAGAATATGTAATACCAATCCTGGACTAATGGTTGCCTAAAAGGGATGAAATCAAGCTATTTGGTGATGGAAAGTATAATTTTTTGAATGGGCTGAAATGTCAAGGAAGACAACACGAAGGATGTGCACCAGTGAAGTCTGATAAGGCTGGTCACCGGACCAGGTTGTACCGGTACCGGTACCATTCCGGTCCGGTAGTCTTTGGGATGGAACGGGACACCGTGAACTGGTACACGGGACGAAACGGTATCATGATTTGATACCGGTGTACCGGTACCGGTTTATCCCGGTTTGTTCCGGTTCCGTTCCGGTCCGGTTTCGGTTAATTATTTTTTATTAATTAATTTATATTTTCTATTATAATTTATATATAAAAAAATAAAATATATAACTTTTCCAATGTTTGATATTTGAAATGTTTGAAAAAAAATGTTGAATAGATTGCTACTATTTTACTAATTGAAGAAAAAATAATATTAGAAGATCAAGTTGATTATAAAATAATTATTTATAACTTTAGTTTTAAAAAGTTAGAAAACAGACTTTAAATAAAAATTATAT